CTGCTTTCCCTTTCGCCTCCCTGCATTGTGCCTACATATGCAAATTAACCACCATCTTGTTGGCAGTTAACTGCCAATTTTAGTTGGCAGTTAATTTGCATATAGCCCTGATTAGCCAATGAAAAGGGTATTGGTCGTAAGCCAATTACCATTTTTGTCTTTTATTAGATAGGATACTAGTATCTGACATAGAATGAGAGGGCTGGGCTTACCCTTCGAGTACTGCTGGACTGTAACTGGCGCCAACCGCTGAGGTCAACTAGAAAAAGCTGGACAAAATATCAAAAACATCTGTATGAAAGGCCAGGGAGGGAGAAGTGTGGGACCAGGGACACAAAGACATTTGGGTCTTTTCTGTCCAGGAAGGGGCACAGTGACAATTTGGGAAGATTGGCCAACGGGCACTTTTGAGCAACCTCCAGGGCTCTGGGAACAATAAGCATGATGAACCCCCTCTTTGAGTTAGTTTCCAAAATGCTGCATCTTTTATCCTATCCAATAAAAGAGTAATATGCAAATTAACCAGCACTCCACAACAAAGACGATGGTGCCCACAGCCAATAAGGAGAAAATATGCAAATTGAGGGTCACTTCACGACAAAGATGGCAGCGGCCGGGCCAGGATGCTTCTGTCGTTGCCACGGCGATGATGCAGGCATTCCGCCCCGCCTGCAGAGGGCCTTTGGGCAGAATGCAGGCGCCCTGGCCGCTCTGGGCTGGTGGGAAGTGCGCTCCAGGCCGGTGGGCAGCGTGCACAGGTGAGGAGAGTCTGGCCCCAGGTGCTCTGGGCTGGTGGGCAGTGCACGTGCATAGGTAAATTAGACTACATTCAAGTGTGGGTGACAGTGCGCTGGGGGACGTTTGCACACCAGGGGAGGAGGAGAAGATGTGCCTGTGGAGAACCTCTGGGCGGGGAAGGCAGGCTGGCAGAGGGCGGCCTATACTTCCCACATAGCAGCGGCAGGAGCTGTGAGCGTGCCAAGTGGAGCCTGCGGGCTGAGCTGAAGTAGGGCCTGCAGGCCATCAGTGCCAAGGAGTGGCTGCACAAGTCCCGCCTCCTGGCCCAGAAGGTGTGCGATCGCAGGGACAGCCACCATAGCGGGCCAGATTGATGCCCTGCTGGCCATGCCATGGGTGTTTGTGGATCTGCGAAGCCACAGGCCTCCGGTGCACACATCCTCTCCTCCCCCCTAGTGTGCAAACATCCCCCAGTGCACTGTCACCCACTCGCACCTGCAACAGTCCTGGACCATGGCGCGCGCAAGTTCTCCCCGCCCCTCCACCGCACTTCCATCAAACCCAGCATGCCTACATTCCCCACAGGACGTGCACACATCCCCTCCGGCACGCTCATGTCCTTTGGAGAGTGTCAGGGTGTTCTGGGTGCTCGGAGTGGGCGCCTGTGAAAGGATAGTGAGAGGGCGGAGTGGTGACGCCCTGTTCCCACGGAGGCCAGTGCAGCGACGAGATCGCCTCTGTGGGGCTAATGCAGGTGCTGAGGTGAGAGCAGGTGTCGACAGACACACCTGGTGGGTGCAGGGGGTCCTCGCTGAGGTGCCTTCAGTCAGTGTTCAAGATCGGGAACCCAGAGGAGGCGAAGAGGTCCATCCTCTCAGTGACACGGCAGAAGAGTCGGGGTGACTGCAGAGGAGGAATGTGCACTTTGGGTGCCAGTGCCCATGAGTGAAGGCTGCCCTGACTGAGCTTCCCTCCCGTGGGTCCTAGTGCACTCCTGCTGGGCAGCAGGTAACAGGACATGCTTTTCCGAATTAATGAGAGAAAACATTGATTCTCCTGCTGCCCACGAAGGTGGAAAGTGAAGGGGGGAGACATGTGGGGAGAGAGCGAGGGTCCCTGTCTGGGGGTTCCAAATCCGCATTGCAACCTTTTACCGCTGACTAGAAATATACAGGGTGTCCCCCCAAAATGTATACACACTTTGAATGCCTACTAATTCCATGAGAAGAAACAACAACGGAGCTGTCATCTGTTAAAAGTGCAGGCACAAACCGGCAATCGGACATTCCTCGAGGGGTCTTGGATTGGAGAGGGTGCAGGCCAGACTGAGGGGCCCCCTTCCCCCGGCCAGGCCTCTAGTATATATCTCTCCTATATAATAAAGAG